AAAATACTATGTGGATTACAGACTACTCTAGAAAAAATAAAAATAGATTAGTTGGAATCTATGAATCTTTTTGACTCACATTTACCTTCTTCTCTTTCTTTGTGACTTTGTGTAAGCTTAGCTTGTAGGTCGTCCATTTCATCTACATTTTTTATCAGATTATTGGTTATGTCAGCCTTATTAATAATATTGACTGAATCAGATATTTGAACAGATCTGGGATTAGATCCTGATTTTTTTTTCTTTAACCGCCTATCCAAAGTATTATTTTCAGATATTACCTCAGAAGAAGTAATACTATGTATTATTTATTGTTTACACAGAGATAATTCTTGAGCATGTCTTTTCCAAATTTTATAAATTCTACGAGTTGAAGTATCATATTTATCAACTATTTCCCTACATGCATTTTTAACAGTTCCCTAAGATTGAATTATTTCCTCAATAGCTTCTGAAGATAGATAAGAAGTGCTGGCACGATAATATTCCATGGTTATGTGTTCCATCCTTTTTTTATAATTATAAAAAATTATCGAAGATTATTGAAAATACTAAAATACGCCTATATCTCTTATAATCAAAAATTATCAAAGATTATTGAAAACATCCTATATCCCTTATGATCGAAAAAGATCGGTAATTATATGTAATTACATACTTAATATTCAATAATTTTCTAAAAAAATCAGTAATTATCTGATATTGTTGAATTATATTAGAGGTATATTTTTTTTAATAGCTTCACCAAATAAGTATATATATATCGTATATCCCATATTTTGTTATTTTCCATAATATTTCTTATTATTTAATATGGCCAATGTGATAGACCTTAAGAAAGAATTATATGATGCCCTCCAAGATTCTTCTGAGATAGCTTCTTATAATGCTAAATTGCGAAATAAGTATGGAAAACAAGAAAAAAAATTTAATTGAAAGAGAGAACAATGGGATCGGGATAGAAAAAAGTGGAGTAAAAAACTAGGAGGGATTGTTACCGAGAATCAAAACCTGCAATTTGAAAATGCTAGCAAAGCTATTTCTCTTGCTAATTCTAAATTTGAGATTGATATAAAATTCAAGGAAATTACAACACTTCGGTCTATGAAAAAATATTAGAAGGTAGATTAACATTGGCTCAGAATGACACAGTTTCGACCCAGGAAGAGATATCAAAAAAAGAATCTGAGATTACGTCTCTCAAGTCTGAATTGGTAAATTTAAAGGATAAACTGGCCTTGAAAATTAGTGAACTTGAGCATATAAAATTGAAAGATGTATCTCGTTCTGTAATTGGGGAGATCAATGAAAAAAATATAACCAAGTTTGATGATATATCTGCAGTTAGTGAACCTAATAAAAATCTCAGTAAATATTTTATATATGGAAAAAATATGGATGAGACCAAAAAAATTGATACATATCTTGATAATAACTTCATTATTATACCGGATCACACTGATAATAAAATTACTGAACTAGCAAAAGTCGATACCAAGATTATTCCTAAGATAAGTGATGAAACTAATAATAGCGAAACTAGTAAAGATATTATGTTAGATATATTGATAAAACCAGATATATTACCAATTATATCTGAGAATATGACCCCATACCTTGCACAATGGGAAAATTGCCAAAGGCAGTCATACAGTGGCTATACCTCCTTTCTGATCAAATCATATCCTCAGATTTCGATAGAAGGAATAGAAACAATTCCTATTGTGGCAAGCACTTTAATATTACCTCTATCCGCATATATCTTTCTTATCTTATTAATTATTGCAGTTATATGGTTCATTATATTGAGATGTGAATGGGGAGTCAAAAAGATTCATAGATTCCAACTAATCTATTTTTATTTTTTCTAGAGTAGTCTGTAATCCACATAGTATTTT